AAGTTGCAGATCTTGGCAGTAGACCCAATTCTTGACAATTCTTGTTCACCGATAGTGATACTGTTTGAAGGAGTGTCAAATAAAACTGAAGTCCTGTCTAGGGTAAGCTTAATAACTCGTGGAGTTTGAGATTGTCTCATTTACAACAAATAAATGTTGTCACATGATGTCAGATTAATTTGTTATTGATGGAATATTGATCACTAAAACAAATTGTCATTTTAACCTTATTTTAACCCCCCAAAAATACATACCGGTACCCCCTTTTTTGAATTTCATTGCCCCATCAGTAAGTCTTCAATAATGTGACATCTATATACACTGTACCACCACTGTTCGTTTAGTCTTTTATTGTATACAATTTGCTGCTTAGGTCCAAGTTTGACAGAATTGGTGAGTTGGCTAGATTGGTTCACTGGGTTGCATGTTCTGCATAATGATCTTCTATACGATGTCAGCCATGGAATCACCTCGTTTTTTGTTAATTAAAACACTGTATTTCAGTAAGGTAACATTTTGATAGAAATTTATAAACATTAAATCTGAACAAGACATTTTAATTGACTACAGAAGCTCTTTGAAAACACTCATTTACCCTCTGTAAACATGTATACCCTTCAATCATAACAGTTTTATGCAGAACACTCCCAAAAATGGACTAGAACTTGTAGTCAGAAATACGGTAGATATTAGGATTTTTTTGTTAGCATGGTGGAGGGGGGGGGGCTATATCGGAAAAAACATTGTCTGCTCTTGTTTGTGATTAGTCCTAACAAATTGCGATGAATCTCATCTTATACATGTAGTTATCAAAAGTACTTCACCTGCGTGATGATAACAACACAAGCTAAGAACGCAAATGCTCATGGGTAGAAGTTTGTTAGTAAACAATGACACGCTATGACCACCTGACGCATGCGTAGGTAACGCTAAGGCCTTGTGATTGGCCTAGTCATTTGAATTTATAAAACAATAAAAAAAAAAACATCACCTCATGTGTGAACTACTTTTCAATTTGTTTTCCAGATGTCTTTGCAGAGGAAAGTTAAGAAGAGATGTGGTAGTCATCAAAGAGTTCAACAAATTAAAAGAATAAAACATGACAATACTCTTGTAGATAAAGAAATGACAGCTCCTGTATCAGCTGATGGAATTGATGCACCAAACAAAATGATTCAGTGTAGTGTACATGATGGAAATAAATCAAATAACATTTTATACAGTGGAGGGTCATCACAGATTCAGTGTAAAAAACCTTTATTCAGGAAACAAGTAGAAAACACACATTTACATGTGGACGGTGCTAAGGAAGTGGATTCAGTGCAACTTGTAGAAGAGAATGAATGCATATTCCCAGACTTGACAACATCAACTCCATGTACAACAATATCCAAGGTAAGAATAACATTAATCAGGATTATGAGATACTACTGTAAATAGAACTGATGTAACCAACAAAACATTGTCAGTGTCTGAAACGAATCAAATGTGGACAGTTTGTGCAGATAATGACATTTTCAACCCCTATTGTGCATTATTAAGAAAGTTTAAAAGGCGGCAGTCGTCACGCCGTGTCCTGTTCGATATGAGACTCATAGCGACGTATACAACGCGTGTAAAATACATTGTTTATTTACATGAAATTCATACACGTGCTGCGCGACGCCCACTGTGCTTTAATTAGTGCCTGAAATTAGATCAAACCTTTGCTGAATCATTTCAATGCAATAATATGTCAACAACAGTCTGTCGTTTTTTCCAGCTTTGTGTGGTTATTTGTTTTAAACAAATATCTTCATGAATTATTGCTTAAACGTTGCACAATGCTTTGTGACATCATTTCTAAACTACAGTGGCTACAGTCACTAACCCAAATTTATGTGTTTACATAGTATTTTCTCTATTTTTGCACGTATAGTTTGTTACAAGATGATTACTTGGATATGTAGGATACTGGTTAAGTACATGTAGCACCAAAAGCAACTCGCTTGATATCAACTCTCCAATTTCCCTTTCGATGTAAAAAAATTGCAATCAAGAGTAACAGTGTTGTCTATTTCAATGTAAGAAATACTGGTGTTGTCAAACTTAGCAAAAAAAAATGCAGATGACAATTTTGATCTAAGGTATTTATGCTGTTGATATATGTGACAGTCAAGATATTTGATAGTCAGGATATGGTCAGACCATAGAACTAAAAACACATTTCCGTTGTTACACTATGCCTTTGGAGCAATCATAATGCACATACAATTCGTACATCCAACAATTGCTATTTCTGGACTGGTCTATAAAGAGACTGTACCTCGTGTAAACTGGTCTTGCATTACATGGACTTTACTGATGTCATCGTACAAATAACATTGATATAGTGAACCAGGAGTATTTTCTTGAAAGTGTTTTGTACGTTACTTATTTGTAAATATAATGCGTTTTCAATAGTTTGTGATAATGCATGTGATATTACAGTTCTCTAGTGAGGAATCTAATTCTTTGCATTTGTCTTTTTTTCTATTAACACAACTATGCTGTCAGACTAAATATAAACATATACTTATCAACCACATCAGCATGCTCCTTCCATTGTTTTTTCTGTTACTTGGTCTATTTATTTTTTACCTATTCAAATACAACTGTACTATCTTTGCCTCCGCACAACCAAACTTGCAACTTCTTTTGTCATTTATCACATTTGTATCTACCTTTTTTGGTTTAAATATAACCACATAAAGATTACCAAACTTAACGAAATATTGTTTTTCATCAGCAAAGTGAATATACACAAAGCTAATGTCACTTGAAATGCGCTGTGATAACTTATGATTGAGTAGTTACCATTGTCATGTGATGGGAACCAAAAAATATTGTGACGTGCACATAAAAATAACAGGACGTCAGAGAGGGGCTAAGCCCCTCAAGATGGCAATGTATTTGACATTCCACCCAGGACCCTTTATAAAGTTTTCATCTTGTACCTTAGTCCCCTTGAAGTTCACTTGATTTTCAGTAGATGGCGCCCTCTGGAGACCCAACACCAACATCTTTTTTCACTTGAAGGGGATTTATTATACAACATCGGTATATAGTGTATATGCTATGCTTTCAGTGTCCACATTTTGGCGATGGTCGTTACAAATGAACTGTAATGACACAGGAAATGTTTTATAAAAAAATAAAAATGAGACAAAAAAGATTGACAGTTACTGCTTTAATATCAGACGAATTGGTTTTAGGCGAGTTGGTTTGGTGCAGACTAACCTTAAATTGTACGTACATATATACATGCATGAACAGCTGGTGAAAATATGACCCTTATCGTATCATTTTAATGAGAAGTGCATCTCTAATAATAGTAAACATAAACTAAACATTGCATTTATAAATATAACTTATTTTGACCATAAAACTACGTCGGTTGTTTATGTAAGCGCATACACAACTACCGTAATAGAACAAATATAGTGTACTGTTTCTGTATACTTTTGTTATGGTGTCATTAAAATGACAACATTTGCTAATACAGTAAAAGAGTATTGCTGGATATTGATTTTTCTAAACACTTATTGCAATTTACTTCCCAAATGTATTTTTTTGTACAGCTGTCATTTTGATAGGTTTCCTTTATTTGCAAATCAATTTTCTGTTAATCTTACACCAGTGATTATGTTAATGTATAATATTGCATCAATGACACAAAAATAATGCAGAAGAATCAGTATTTTCACACAAAAAAACAGAACAAATAAATTTCTAGTTTTTGAACCAAACTGGTAATGAAACGAGATGCTATATGCAATCTTATTTGCTTTGTTTTGAAAGATTGATATAAAAATTATATTTTTTTCATTTTGCTATTTTATGACAATTGTAATATGTTGTCGCATTTTGTGTCCTTTTACTTGAAAGTTACCACATAAGAATGCACCACATTTTTGAAAAAAATCTAATGTAATTTACATCTTCTTGCATTGTACACTCGGCTGTAAAACATTCCTGAATATAAACATGTATATTATATAGCTTTTTTTTTTATTTGCTTTAGGGTTCATTGTCAACTTTACCAACAGAAAGTCCAGTAATAAATTTGGACACTTGTAACATTGCAATAACAGATGAAAAACACTGCCACAGAGAACTGAGCTTTGTCGCGGAGAATACTGACTGGGATTATGATGATAGCAGTTTTTTTGCCAATGTTGATCTCAGTAATATTGTTGCAGAGTGCAACGGAAAAGTAGAAGATGGGGTGGATATAACAAATGTTTCTAGAAAAGAAATTGTTGAACAGTGCAATAAAGATGGTAGTAGCAAGAATTCAGAATTGCCTTCTGTTTCCCATACAAGTGATTGCGTCAGTGTGACTGGCATTAAAGCTACACTTGTATCAGAAACTGTTCAAACAGTTGATAATAAAGTACATGTACTATACCAAGCATATAATAATAACAATAATATGAATATTTGGGATAAGACTGATAACTCATCGATTAATTGCAAACAGTCTGTTGTCACAACACCTGTGAGTAGACTAACAATGAAAGATCGTATCAAACAGAGATTGCAGTATAATGCTAAGATAGAAACGCCACAACAGAACAAATTGATGCAGTTAAAACAAGCTACAATTCAGGAAGCGATAACAATTGCAAAAAAAATGGAAGAGAAAGTTACTGATGGAGATATAGGTCCGTTTTATGGACTTCCCAGTAAAGTGAAGGAATTACTGAAAATGACCAGAGGAATTGACAAGTTATATGGTGAGGATTATTGTATACACGTCAAACTGTAAAACATGTCTTTTTCGCGAATTTAGCGAGAGAACTGATTTGCTAATTCAAGATGTCGCTAATGACTTTATTATCAATTCAAAATGGCCGCCAGACAAAGAAATCAACAATGACAAGAGAGATTCGCTAAATCAACATTTCGCTATTACGTCATTTTACCACTAAAATTGCATGCCGCTTTTTCAACATGTTTTACAGTATATTATTACCTCCAGTATTTCAATTCATACATCATTCTTCTTGGTTAAGAACATGTTTTTAATTATGCAAGCTATGGTTAAATACACAATATACGTACCACACTTTTTTTTCTGTGTATAGAAGTAGGCCCCGAACCTGAATAACACAGAGTAGGGGAAAAATTCTGCTGTCAACTAAGTTTGACAAAAATATTGTTTTGCACATAATGAACAACATTGCGACCCTTTGGTATTTTAGATTCAAATGAAATGAGTTGTTTCACAATTACTTGCAACTCTTCAACCCATAAGTCTTGTTGATTTTCAAAACATAATTGGAAGTATGGCACTAATTAGCATCTGTATTTAATTTTGAAATTATACTAATTGTGACAATTGCATATATCAATGTCGCTACCAACAATAAACTTCACAAATCTATATCTGTATTTATTTATAATCGACGTATGCTTGTTCATGGCCCAGGGGTGGGTGTGTGTGTGTGTGTGTGTGTGTGTGTGTGTGTCCCATAATGCAAATCATGTTATGGGGACATGTTGCCCTTTGGGGTTGTACATTTTAGCTTTTTGGTCTAGAATGGGGTATAAATTTGCTTACCTTTTGGTTCAATATTAGATTTGCCGTCTAGAATGGGGTCTGTTATCAGAAAAGGGCTCAAGAAAAACACAGTAAATTATAAAAAATATCCAAAATCAATGTCCATCCAATTTTCTGGTCCTCCTGCAATTTCAGTCTCTGATCTCTTTGTCAAACAACAATTAAATAAAATGCTTTGTGTTGATAAGTAAGTACTCTAGTTTTGTTCTTATTTCACTTGGATTGATCATTCAGATTGATGAGTCCGGGTGATGAGTAGATTCTACTAATAACTGAATAAATTTAGTGACAATTTGGTCTCTGATGGGATATACAAAATCACTATTTGGTCTATAATGTAGTATGGTTTTTGAGGTGAAAATGGTCTATGATGGGGTCTGGTTTATGGGGTTTCACTTCCTGGTTGCACACCCCTACCTAACTGAAATTCCAGTGCCTCCCCCGGGTATAATAGCAATAAACCTAATGAACATTTTTTTGTTTCAGATTGGCAAAATTCCTGCTTAACTTTACCCGCTGTGACAGAAAATAAAAATTTGATTTATTCTCTACCTACAAGCGGTGGTAAAACATTAGTAGCTGAGATCCTGATTATGCAGCAATTATTATGCAATAAAAGAGATGCACTTCTCATATTACCATTTGTCTCGATAGTACAAGAGAAGGTATGTATAACAAGATTACGCACTGAGTGTGTCATACTTTGGAAATACTGAACAGATACCGTATTTGCTCTATAAAAATCACCAATTAACCAAAAATAGCATGTATTCTGATTCTAAATCTTTAAATTATTACTTATATCGGCCATGGACACACTCATATTTAAGCATTTGTGCTACTAATTGTTTAGAGCAAATACTGTATTTATTTTCATGTATGATGTGTAAACACATATTTTTATACCAAAAAAGGATTACATGGTGCATGTGTATAAGTGAAATATAAAGTGTCTGATAACAACAGTGAATAAAATGTGATAAATGTTTCTCCAAACACTCACAAGTTATTAACTGAACCCATCTGAAACATGGGTCTGTTTTGATCAAGAATCTAGTAGAGGTTTTTTGAAAGTAAAATACTTAATTTTACTTTTCGTAAAAATGAATGCTTACTGTATTCATTGTGGGATTGGTCACATTGTTTTGTCAAAATTCAAAGACATCTACAATCGCATTTTTTTGGCAAGTGAGAATGAAAATGACCTTATCACAACAGAGATAAACAGCAGTTTACTAGTACCGTAGTAGAAAACACAACATTGACTCTAATTTGCATAAGCACTATTGGTAACAATGCACATGACTTTTTGCCATATTCCCTGAAACAAGGAAACCACTTTCAAGTTTAGCGCAGGGCGGGGCGGGGCGGGCATTATAAAAGGTCTTCACAGATTGACCACGCTGATCTTTCTTTATTCCAAAAATCCTTAGTGGGGTTTCACTATACAAAGCAACCCAAGCAAATGTTATTTGGGATAACACATGAACAACTCTACGTTAATTATGTTTGTACAACGTAACTATGTCAATCAACACTCACATATCAAGGCCTGAAAACAGTTTGATTCTGTTCAAACTGCAATTGCTGACCAATGGAATCACTAGCTACTAAATTATAGCTCGCTATTGTTACATTTTGCAATAATTTTGGGACTATGTTTGTCATTGATCATTACTACTAGCGATGATTAATTAACAATGACATCATATCCTTCACATTTTGCATATTTGTTCCCAGTGCTAATTGAGCACTAAAATAGCATTTTGCCATTTAAATTTTTCAATCGTGTTTTTTGAAATCTAAGCCTTATATTATTACAATCTCCCTGTAGTTCAAAATTTTGACGAGGATCATGCAAATGACAATCTTTTTACTTAAATACATTTGCAATGAATAAATAATAAACAATTGTATGTACATATTTACATGTACTGTACTGTAATGCAATGCAACATTTATCTGGCAATAATTACGCAGTGCTACAATAATATGACATTACGTCGTTGACGATGTGATGACAATGCCCCTTGCATTGTACATTTCACTACTAGATCTAGCACAGTTTGACACTAGTGCTTACATGTTGATTTCAACAATTACATATTATGTGGACAGTGTTTTCAGCGCTAGTTTTCAGATGGCTTAAATAATTTTCTTTAAATCTGTAGGTGAGAAATTTGTCACAGTTTGCATTGGAATTGGGATTTCTTGTTGAAGAATATGCTGGCAGTAAAGGGGCTATGCCACCCAGGAAGCGACGAAAAAAGCAAACGTTATACATTGCAACTATAGAGAAAGCACATAGCTTAGTGAATTGTCTTATTGCAGAAAAACGAATAGACAACATTGGCTTAGCAGTGGTCGATGAGGTAAGTACATTGTGGAGAAGGGTTGAGAATAGTGTTGTAGGGCCTGGTATTAAGTCAGTGGAGAACTTGCATCTATTGTGCTGCAATACATTGTGGAGAAGGGTTGAGAATATTGTTGTAGGGCCTGGTATTAAGTCAGTGGAGAACTTGCATCTATTGTGCTGCAGTACATTATTGCGAATAGTGTTTTTGGCCCTGGTAAGTCAGTGCAGTACTTTTATGTATTGTGCTGCAATACATTGTGGAGACGGGTAGAAAATAGTGTTTTTGGCCCTGGTAAGTCAGTGCAGTACTTTCATGTATTGTGCTGCAGTACATTGTGGAGACGGGTAGAAAATAGTGTTTTTAGGCCTGGTAAGTCAGTGCAGTACTTTCATGTATTGTGCTGCAGTACATTATTGCGAATAGTGTTTTTGGCCCTGGTAAGTCAGTGCAGTACTTTTATGTATTGTGCTGCAATACATTGTGGAGACTGGTAAAAAATAGTGTTTTTGGCCCTGGTATTAGTCAGTGCAGTACTTTTATGTATTGTGCTGCAATACATTGTGGAGACTTGTAAAAAATAGTGTTTTTGGCCCTGGTATTAGTCAGTGCAGTACTTTTATGTATTGTGCTGCAATACATTTTGAAGACTGGTAGAAAATAGTGTTTTTGGCCCTGGTATTAGTCAGTGCAGTACTTTCATGCATTGTGCTGCAGTACATTGTGGAGAATGGTTGAGAATAGTGTTTTTAGGCCTGGTAAGTCAGTGCAGTACTTTCATGCATTGTGCTGCAGTACATTGTGGAGAAGGGTTGAGAATAGTGTTTTTAGGCCTGGTAAGTCAGTGCAGTACTTTCATGTATTGTGCTGCAGTACATTGTGGAGAAGGGTTGAGAATAGTGTTTTTAGGCCTGGTAAGTCAGTGCAGTACTTTCATGCATTGTGCTGCAGTACATTGTGGAGAAGGGTTGAGAATAGTGTTTTTAGGCCTGGTAAGTCAGTGCAGTACTTTCATGCATTGTGCTGCAGTAGATTGTGGAGAAGGGTTGAGAATAGTGTTTTTAGGCCTGGTAAGTCAGTGCAGTACTTTCATGTATTGTGCTGCAGTACATTGTGGAGAAGGGTTGAGAATAGTGTTTTTAAGCCTGGTAAGTCAGTGCAGTACTTTCATGCATTGTGCTGCAGTACATTGTGGAGAAGGGTTGAGAATAGTGTTTTTAGGCCTGGTAAGTCAGTGCAGTATTGATTTAATTTTGGATTGTTATAGGCTTATATTATGCAAACTAGTTATAGCGAGAAACTTTGAGGATTGATGATTAAATGGTTAGTGTAATAACTTCACTGTTTTATCTCTTGATAGCTTCACATGCTTGGTGAAGGTGGTAGAAGAGGAGCAGCTCTAGAGATGGTACTCACAAAGCTGCTATTTGTAAAAACTACTCAGATAATTGGTATGAGTGCTACACTGAATAATATTGAAGATCTACAGCAGTTTTTACATGCACAAATATACACCAGTAATTTTAGACCAGTGAGTATGTCATGTTTGTAGGTATCCTGAAAGACTGACGTTACACACAGTAATTGTCACAATTAAAAGATCTTACTAAAAAATACATAATACCGGTAGTAGATAATAAAATAAATAGATGTAATTATGGAGCGTCATTCAAAATTTGAAACAGATCGAAAGTGGACAGCATGCGCATATGATAACAATTTCATCCTGAACTGTTCTACTTTGCCAAGTAATTTGGTAATTTGTTGTGAATCACAAACAAATTGACATGATTGAATAACAAATTTTATAAATGTCCCTGTCCCTGTTCTAGTTTTAGTTTACTTATTATTTCATGGTTAGACACTAAGGGTACGGTAGTCTTATAGCCCCGGACAAGCTAAGTTGCCGTTTGAAAAACTCGCTTGTCTTGTTAGACTTTAGTAAATTATATATATATGTACATTTCAAACAAGTGAGTTTGAAACTTTGAAATGTTATGCCCTCTACTTGTTTGTCTAAATCAATCTTCTTAATGAATAATTAATAATAATAATAATAATAATCACCTTAATTAATGCTTAGTTTAACCATCAGGTTGCTTTTTTAAAAACTAGCAAAATCACTCTTAATTTTTTTTTTTAATGTTAGTACCCGTACACGCATTGGCTCTATTTGTAAAATATTCTTACTTTACATTGTCATCTATGATGATTTTTAGTTCCCATATGGACAAAGTCGTTTGACCTTCACTCATTTGTTTGTTTGTTTGTTCGTCCGTCCATGCATGCATTCCCACCTGTATTTTTGACATGTCTGGGCTGATCATTCAAACTTCCTATAAATATCATTTATCCTAGAATACCAGTACATAGCACATGTCCATTTGTTTCATGATCTGATTCAAGATGGCCGAATGGTGGTCA